CCACCGGGGGGAGAAGGGACAGGACAAAGCCTTTGGGCTTGGGAAGAAGGGAGGGGTGGGGAGAAGTGCCTTTCTAAGACATGGTTTCTCTCTCTCAGTATCTTGCTTCTTGTAAATAGTTAATAAATTCAGTTGTTTTCTTGTTCTTCCCAAGTCGTGTGGGTTTCTTGCCCGTGACCCTAAGTGGTGAGTGAACCCCTTCCTGTCCCTGCCTCAGCCCACCAGGTGTTTAGCAAAAACTGTCCCTGTGGCTTTATAAACCACAACAATAATATTCCATTAACTGAGGGCCTGATCCAAAATCCCCTAGTATCCAAATAATGTTTAATGGACTTCAGCTTCCCAACACTAAAGCTCACTCTTCAACCTTGCATACCGTGTTTTCTGAGGATGTTTGGCTCAGTACTAAACATCTGTCCCCTTTACATCACCAGACACGCATCTAAAGATAGATAACTTTTATTCTCTCCACTGGCGTTTATTTTAAATTCACTTCCCCAGAATAAGCCAAAGAATATCTCATTATCTCGTGTCCGCAGGGCACTGCTGTATGCACAGTCTTTTTGGCTAGCAAGGATAACTCATTGTTCTAGAGAGAAAAAAAGAGAAAGGTCTTTCCATCTTCAGTAATGCCTGATGCTGCCATGAGCTGGGTGAAGTCAAAAAATAGCTGATGATAATCATCAATATTTAGTTATCCAACAGCAGTGTAATGTTCTCTGGAAAAGCAGCCACTTGTTGGAGTACATTATAAAGAAAGACTTCTGGTTTTTAGAAAAATATTTTAATTTTTCTTTGCACTTTAAATCTCTTGTCAAGGACATCTGTAAGGATTAGGATTTTCAGAGCAAGTTTCACTTCCACTTCAACAGCCATCTTTAACATGTGCTTCTTAGGCCACTGATGTTTGTGTATGTACAGCGGCTGAATATGTAGCAGCTGCACCTTGAGGCTAGTGTATGTCATGCATTTATCATCTCCATCAGCACCTTGCTGTTTTCTTCTATCCGGTTCACTTCTGACATCCGCAGCTTATTTGAAAAGCACCTTCATTTGTATATTTAGATTTTAACAAAATCCTGAGGTCCTTCTAGCTGTTGTGAAGGAGATTCTGAATACAGAATCAAGTTTGAGGTATAGTCATTCGCTCTTTTGTGCACACACACACACTCTCTCTAAGAAGTCAACCACAGGAAAGGTATTGGGACACCTCATTCCTGGTGAAACTACTTTTCAAAACAAAACATTTAGGAAGGATTTATGTTTTTGACAGTAAGAAGTAAACATGGGTCACAAGCTACTCTATTACATCCCTGATCTGGACATTTATGCAACGGATAATGAATGAAAATCAAAGCTTACCCATTTAGGCATTTTCCCCCCATCTGGATCATGATGATGGTATTGTAGAACAATAACAGTGACAACAACAGAAAGACCAACAATAATCATAGTGCTGGCAAAATACTGAGCTGCAAAATAAACAGATAATTACAGCAATATACTTTGGCTGATACTGCTTTGTAGCTATTCTAAGAGACGCTTATATACATGCACACATAGTGTTCAGTTCTTTTGCCAGTGTAGTGATACACATGGTACTTTAGGTACTTGTAGAAGACGACTCAAAAGCAGAAAAAGCAGCCGTTATTTTGAGAGGATAGCCAGCCTTTAGTCATTGTCTTTGTGGAACTGGGCACCTGCCTTTTCTAAGCAACCTTGAAAAAAAATGTCCTCTAATTTTCTTTCACCACTATTGCAGAGACTAGCTAGCACATCTTTTGAAAAGGTTCCCTTTCTGTCTGAGCAATTACAATGGGAAAATTTAATCCTGTTTAGCTCTGTATTCGTAATGCTGTCCAATTGGGTCAAAACTGCAACAACTTTTTCCATGGAAGACTGACTCCCTTACTCCTTCCCAAAATACACATAGGTTCTCTATTTTGTTCAGAGCAGAGAGCACAGAAGTTGTATAGGGGATCACACCCATCAGAGCCTCTTATCAATTGGCAACATTGGCCATTGTGTAGGTGGTAATTTGTCTTATTGCTGGCCTTCATGCAAGGTCACTGCACCTCATTTGACAAAAAATAAAAGAGCATAAAAGCTGTAGTTAGCTTACCAATTAAGGGCACAGAATCAGATGTTGCTGGCATAATTTCAGCCACAAGTAACATGAAGACAGTCAGAGACAATAAAACTGTTATACCTGAAAGATAAACATGAAGTCTGAAAATCGATCAGTAACTTGTATTACAAGGCAGTAAGAAGCAGAAAATGAATCTGAAGGAGTGTTCTTTGCAAGATGCACTCCCACTGTTAGCCTTGCACCAGCACATTACTGGTACACCTCTAGTTCAGGGTAGCAGTGCCGCCTAACTAGTACCAATGCTTGAACGGACATATATATTTTTAGATCCTTGTGACTGTTCAGCTTTTATCACAATTTGCTAGTTAGCTGAGGTAAATCAAATTAATTCTTGCTGCTTATTTGCTTTAGAAACATTGCATGATGTGGAGTATTTGAGTATATGACACTTGATTAATTGGTGTGAAAACTACAGGTGGTGTAACGCATAATCTGAAAAACAGATTTGCTGTCTTGGACAGACTTTGATATCTTTTGATATTAGCTGTTGGGTTCTGCATGTGGCTATGCCCAAGCAGTCTGGACTGCTGATTTTTGGAGTTTGACTTCTGTTGCTTAGTGGTAAGTTTCCATCTGCCTGGAAAAAGGCTTAGCTCTTTTCTCAGGACTAGCCCTAAACAATAAGAAGTCATTGTCAGGCAGAAAAGGATTGAGGAACAAAGAATTAATCTTAAAATATGGGGAGGGGCTTCTTGATTAGTAGGGCAAGAAGTTTCGTTACATATTTAACCTGCATTTTAAGGATCAAGTACTTAAAGTTATCAGATTTGTTTCAAAAACCAGTACTTTAGTTAAAATTTGCTATAAAAATTGAATATTAGTAGTTAGAATCAATCTTTCTGAGAATGCACCTTAGGTTCTTAATAGAACTCACTATTAAAATGAAATATTAAGAGGAATTCCATGTTAAACTTTTCAAATGCATATTTGTAAATTTAAGCTTTACCCAGTGAATATAGGTTTTTTCTTTAGCAAATAAATGTTGAAAAATGAAAGCCTGCTTCTTAAGGAAGGTAGCCAGGTATTGTCATACTTCTCCTTGGTTGGTTGGAATTTCTCCATTTTCCAATTTCAGTGTACCCTAAGCTGAGAGCAAGGGTTAAACATCACTCAGCTTCAGCATCGACCAGTAAAAATAGCTCACGAGCCAGAATAGGGCACACAAGCCATTCCTCCTTGCCTACTAAGACTGTTTTAAAAACTTTAAAAAGCACAACTTCTTCCAGTTGAGTTATATTTCCAGTATCCTATTAATGACTTACCTAGTGAGATCTTTTCTCCTGAGTCTGCTGGAAGCAGAAAAACTAACAAAGCAAGTGCTGATATCAGTACACAAGGAATAAGCAGATTGAGTCCGTAATAGAGTGTCCTACGTCTCATAGTTACTGTGAATGTCACATCTGGGTAGGGTTCTTTACAACAGTCATAAAATCTCTCATTTCTCCTCCCAGGAACTCCTGCGTAGGAGGGAAAAGGAAGAAAACCAGAAATCAATGTGAATAAACTGTATATTATGTAGTGGTTATTTTTTTTTTTAAAGATAAATGTAGCTTTCTAAGCTTTCCAATAGGTAAAACTACTTCTTTGAGCTTAATTCCCAATTAAGTCATTTTTGTCAGATAAGAAAGGAAAATCAGATACAAGATACTTACTGAATTCAAGCAGCAATTCTGTCACCTACTTTTTTCTGTTGATTTTCATCTTCCATCTGTTTCATCTTGGGTCAGGGCCACCACCACCACCGCTCCCTCCCTCCCCTCTCCCGCCCCTCTTTCCCCCACCTGGTAAGATGGGGGAAAGGATTAAAAAAAAAAGGGGAACCCCGTGAGTTGAGGGAACGACAGATTTTAATAATACAACATAAGAAAAAGGAGAATATCATAATATTCGAATACAATGAAAACACTGATACAATGGAAGCCTTCTCACCACCAAGAGCTTCACAAAGACCCCCCCCACCCCTCTCCTGGCTAGCTTCCCCTTACAGCCCAGGCATGAGGGCAGCATGGTATGGAATAGCCCTTTGACTATGTCCACCTCCCAGCTTCTGTGAAAAATTCACCCTATCCCAGCTGAACCCAGGACATCTGTTCTCAGAGCTTCAAATGCCACTAGCTAGGTCATTCACTCATTTCATTTCTGTCTTCATTTCCCAATCATTACTCCATCTGTTTCAACGGTGGAGACAAGGCTGCAAATGTAAAGAAGAAATCAAGAGCTTACCTACTAAATCCCACTCTCCATTTGAAATATAGCCAGATATATCTGCTTCTTGCATTTGTAAATCCAAGGACCAGCCTCCGTAAGTCCAGGATCCAAACTTCAGGTTACACTTCTGAACATCAAATGGAAACCAGCGCACATCTATGTAGCATGAGCTTTTAAATATGCCTGGATTGGATTTGAAACAAGAACACTTAATTTAAATGCTTGTTCCATGTAATTTCTTGTACATTTTGTGACCAGACCTGTTCGACATTGCGCCCTGTTTTTCACTTGTAAAGCGTATTTAATCTCAGGTCTGCTTTGACAGGTAAATAGCAAAAGTCAGTCATAGAAAAGGGAAAGAACTGCTGCAACATTAATGTGTTGATGTTATAAACTATTTTTTGAACTACATTTCCATTTCGGCACATAGTGGGAAAATATTTAGAGAAGAGCTCAGATTCCTATATACTCTATTTCAGAAAGAAACGATGCAGAATATGCAATCTGTTGCAAGGCTTAAATCTATCAGATTATGCTAGCTAGAGAAATAAAATATCAGAGAATTTATGTGAAATTTAAAACTACACCATATATATGTTAGTCAGAATTATCGGAATTTGACATAACAGCCTACCTGGTGGGAGATATTCACAATGTCCTGAAGAATTGACTAAAACATTAGTGTGAAATGTAGCATCAAATCTTTCATCAGCACTAGAACAGGGAAGAAACAAAACGGGTTATATGCTCTTTCACTGGCTGAAGAATATCTGAGATGAATCCATTCTTCATAAAAGGATTATTTCTCCCCGGAAACTTGACAGCTTTTCTCCCATCACCTGTTTTCTGTGGCCGCAGAGTAACTGGCCTGATTCTATTGGATTTGTTCCTGATTAACAACTGCAAGTGAAGGTGATCCACCTTATTCTCACTGCTCACCCACCCCACTACATTCATTACAGTGTCTTGGCTCTAGGGATTTCCAGTTGGAAAGGAAGCACTTTCAAAAAACTTATCAAACAACTGTCCAGGGCAATCTGTTCTCTTCCTGTCTACATTAACAGCCGCTAATGAATACTTCAGTGTCTCATCCTACCCCTTTGCATGGGTGAATGTTATTACTACATGTCATACAGGAGACTGTTTAATGCAGCTCCAGCCTTCATTATCTACTTCAGAACCCACAAACTGGGTTTGGCAAAAAAAAGAAACCCTATTCAAGGTGCCAGTGTAGCGGTGCTGGCCAGGACCACCCTGGTGTGCTGTCCTTACAAGACTCTAGAAAAGAATTCTAATGTAACTTGGAGAGTGCTTCAAATGATGAATTGGGAGCTACTGCCATGGAATATCTCAACTGCATCTGACACTATGACCCAAGAATTTACTAGGCATTAAAATTTTAAGAACTTCTAGATGGGAAACAGCCTGTTTATTTATTTATTTAGATATATTTTTTTTAGATG